TTTAATTATATACTATAGTATAATTTTAGAATTTTGATATACATTTGTATATATAGTATAAGAGAGACAGTAGTTTATCAGTCTATTTGAATGTTGTCTGTTACCCTCTTGAAATAAAATTTTTATACATACTTAAACATATATACACAAGGTTAAGTTATAATATCCGTTGAACTCAAAACACATGGAGCAATATTTTTACCGCCATATTTGAATTTTAAATTCAAGAATAAAATATCTTTTTCTCTTGTGCAAATGTGACTGGATTTCTTGCGGGGAATTTTGTTTTTAAGGGAACAAAAAATTTTCGAAAAGATTTTTGACATTAACAAGCGACATAAATAATGTTTTATGAACACGAGGCTCGAGAGTTAAGACTTAAGAGCATCGGCAAAATTCATCACATAATTACAAAAACAAAATACGCTAACAAATTTGTACTTACTCCTTAAAAAAAAACCCAGCTAATCTTTATAATCTTCTTGTGAATGATGTCATGAAAAAGATAATTTCACACGTACTCTCCACAAATTGGTCTTAAAATTCATAAATAAAACAAACAATCTCATCTCAACCATTCTCAATTCTCAACTATGAACTTTGATAATACACTGGACACCAGTTCGTGGGCACAGATGCAATCAAAGTATCTAAACACCTGCGTAAAGGCAAGGTAATAACAACTTACCACACAATAATCTGATCAGATATCATACAATCAGACTTTGTGCCTGCAAAGCCAGTGAAAGGTACTTCTCATAAAACCTCCAAATCAAAATACGCTTTGTGTGATAAATTAAATATTACATGATATGTCATCTTGCTATAATCGACAATTGGCTGTCTCCATGACAAATATGCACAATGTTTGAATTGTCTCCCCTGCAAAATCTCTAATCGTCTTATTTGAGTGAAAGTAGTAATGGAAAATGGGAAAAAAGACTTATCTAATATACACACGAAGAGTAAAATCATTAAACTTATTTTTGAAGAGTCATTCAGAAGAGTCATTCATGAAGACTTATTCAGTAAAAGCTGCCATTGATCAAAATGACGACATAAGATGAAAAAGAATTGCTAAAAGGACTGGGGTGAAGAATTGTGAAAACCCTCAATATTTAGGTCGGGATGCATGGATCAGAGGGTAGTTAGCGATCGTGTGAGTTGGTCTGTTAAGGACTCAAACTTTAAATTAGGAGTAAGTTATCGTATATGAAATGCTGTGTATGCAAAATCATTCGAAACCATTCATGAACAGCCTTAGAATCAGAGGTACGAGAAACAGAAACACTGATTGTTATTACTTAACATTACTCACTATGTCTAACGATGGTACATTAATTAAAATCATTTTGAAGAATGGAATATTAAAGAAATAGCAATATTCGTCTTGTGCACAAAGTGTGGCTGTTTGTATTAGTTTCAGTGTTGATGACATTTTTATACAACTATATCTTATACATTGATTACTGATATTTTTCAACGTCTTTCTTATTAATCTCTCGTGTTTTGCATCATTTACATGATAATTTGGCTTATCAGAAAAAGAACTATCGTGGCATAATACATTTCATAAGTCAATAGAAAGTTGTCAAACTTTGTTGGGGTGAAAACATACACTTTAAAAGATTATTGTTACTTTGCATAATTATTGAAAATGTGTTTTTAATATGTCAAAAGAAAAGTGTTTTGTCATTGTGCGCCAAGACTCTTGAAAGAAGAACATCAGGTAAGACAGTGATTACACAAAACATAAACTAATTTTAGTTAAAAGATTTGTAAACAGAGACAAAAGTTTTACCATTATTTATGTGCATGCAATTCTCTATACATTGCTTATAATTTTCACAAATCCTTAATTCTACTCAAGTTACGGCAAACGTTGTCAATACATTCGCACAGACGGAAATTTCCTCTTGCAATTAATGCCAAATAAAATGTGTTCTCAGCTGATTTATTCACACCTGTGTTTATAATTATTTTATTCTATTATATAACATGATATGTCAAAGAAAATCGTTGTTGAGAAAAAATCTCATTTTGTACACTACAAAATGATGTCCTAGTCAATGTTACTATTAGCTACGAACAAAAAAGAAAGCGATGTTTCGATTTTTTCTCAACTCACCTCGATGTGAGTGGCGGTTTGATACCATGCTACAAATGCATATCCAATTATATTTTCAAGATACTAGCTAAGCTGTTTTCCAAAAATTGTTTGTTGATCATGTTGAAGAGTGATCAGGTGCGTACAGGTTTGTTGATCGTTGCAAAATGTATCGGCAAGGACTTGTATTTGGTGTCAAATAATTAGAAACGTGAATGTGATGAATGTTTTTTAGTTCTATGGGATATCAAATTTTTGTTCCAACGTTTTATGGTCTAAATTGACATTAGCATTTTACCTCTTAACTGATGAAACTTTTCCTCATGCATCACAAGATTCTGATTTGGATGAAATTTTTGCATCAGTAATTTGAATGCTTTGCTTGCTGGTAAATGCATTTGATTTTACTGGGGTCATAATGTAGTTAAAAATGTTATATAGGTTTCAGCAAGGTTTGCGTCAGTTAACACTAAAAAATTAATGTTTCAAACGTTTTATTAAGGAATACTGCCTATAGTGACATTCGTTAACTTTCTGCGGAAAAGTTGTGAGGTTGTTCATTTTATCAATCATTGTCGCACATGATTTACGTCCCGCAAAGTGAATCATGATTCCAAGCTATTACGTCTACTTTAATGTGCCCTCTCAGCATAATTAACATAATCAACATTAGTCTTGCGTACTTTTAAGTAAGTGGACTTTGTCTGCATTGATCGAGTTAATCATATTTTGTAATGCACAATTTTAAAGTGAAAGCTTCGTTAAGTGTATGCTTGTTGACGTACAAACTGCGTCATGCATAAACATCCTTAGTAAATGAATCATGTGTGCATTGAATTCTATTTCATCTTAAATCAATTATTTTGATTTAAAACGTTCAAGGTCTTGTTTAATTGTTTATTCTAGTGTTGATTTCAAATCTTTACGTCTAAAAGTTTTCACTATTCGATTAAACAATGAACAGGTATGATGTCCTCATTGAATATTTGACAACTACTTTAAAGACAAGGATGGGAAAAGTCCACGGTTATTAAAATTTGTGATTACATATGCATTTAATCACGAATTTCAACACTCTTTAATGCATCAATATATTTAACCACTCGTGACACAACTTAAGTTACCTGAATATTTCCATTATCAAATTAAAGACAATCTTATTTAGTAATGTGTTTTGTTTCTTGTTTATTCGTGCTTTCCTTCAAATAATAACACGACACTTGTCGAATATTGATTAAACACACGGAATATTTCAAAATCTATACACAAAGATTTAGGAATAGAATGAAAAAAAATCCACGAGTGAATAAAAATTACCTGGAACTTCTAAAATAACGAGGTTTCTGTATTTAAAAGTGCTCTACATGGATGGTTCTATTATAAACAGACAAATGACAAAACGTCTGCCGTTATTACATAAAATGATACAAGATTTAAACCCACGCCAATTAAATCTGTAAACAATATGTACGTGCAGGACGATGAAATAACAACTTCAACACACACAACGCTTACTTGATTTTAGGGGGAACATACTCTGTCAATATCAAATTCAAAGTGAAAGAAAAGCAGCGCACCATATTATCTAGGGTCTCACTATGATAATCAAAAGGCATTTCCAAAACGTCTATCCTTCCTTTGTCTATGGATTCCTTATTCTTACAAGTTTGATGAAAGTACATCCAATGGCCAATGCTGGTGATTTGGGGAAAATGTGCAACTCGACTCAAACAAACCAGACAAATTGCACAAGGAATGAGACTGGTTCTCGTAATCAAAGTGATGTAAGTTTATAAACAAAAACTCTATTGTATGTAATTACAAAAATCATTTTATTTGGTCTGATGAATTAATTTAAAGTCAATGAAATGTTTTGTTGACTGGAAAGAAATGCATTCAAAGAAATGAGGTAGGTGCAAAAAAATCTCATATTAAAAAAAGTCAAAAAGCCACAATAGTCTAACTGAAGCCATTGGGTAAAAGTCATCTTATTGAACAACCTTATAATTTTTGTATTTATTATTTCCTTTATGCGATTTTTATGGCATTATCAGAAGTTGGTTTACGCCAAGCCTGAAACTGAATACGTTTAAAAGGAAAGATTTTTCTATCTAAAACACGCAGAACTTTAGCGCTTTTATTTTAGATACAAACTTCTTCACAGTATAATGTGCAGTGATTTTAGAATTATTTGCAACATTTCCAATATTTATAAGACCACCATCAACTACAATAATTGTACCTCTCCATAATTTCTGTAAGTTATTTATTATCATATGCTCCATCTCGAAATCAAATAAACTAAAGTGTTCACAATATTTTAATACATGTCACACAAAAAGAGAGTTAGAATAAAAATCATATCAAATCCTCGTGTCAAGCGAAGCAGAAATGATTTCCGTTTCACAATTACATTTGCGAATTCTTTGTTGCTGTCCAACTTCTGTAAAAGTCTCCACATTCTCCCTTTTGCTTGCACGTAATATGCAGCAAAGACTGCAGAAAATGGCAGTTCTGCGAGTTCGTATTTGAAATTTTTATAACTCATCCACGAAGCCTTGAGGTGTATCCGCTTCTGAAATGCTTCCGTATTCTGTAATTCGTAACACTTGCTGAGTGCAAAACTTGCACACTTGCAGTGGAAAACTACGTCTAAAAGAAATGAAATAGACTGACATGAGATAATGCATTGAATTAATGCATTTCTAAAATTTTTGCAATTTTCTTCTCCACCATTGAGAAATATGACAGTTTACAATGCATTTAAAATTTTCATATGTTTCATTGAAGAACAAACCCAAGAACAGTATCTCGTTTGGTTATGAAACATTAATAACAATAATAGTGGTCTCATTGCAACATAAAATAAACATATATTTATGTATTTAATAAGAAACCGAAGAAAAGTTTCTCACTTCCTCAAGATATATTAATAACAACAATGGTGGTCTCCACAGTTGGTGTCCTTACAAATGGTCTTCTTATTGTTGTTATTGTGAAGGATCCTTTAAACAAACTAAGACGAGGACCGTGGATTACCATCTTAAGCTTATCTATAGCTGACATCAATGCATCTTTGTCCCAATTCATGATTGTTGGATTGGGTAGATTGTTCGAGGTCAAACCATCAGAAGCTGTCAATTATTCTGTCCTTTTCTTTTGGATGTTTGGGGCTGCGGGCTCATTTTTTCACTTGACATCACTCACATGGCAAACTTACATGATTGCAAAGTATCCCATACGTAGCCGACAGATGTTGTCTACCAGAAAAATATACATATTATGTGCGACTGTTTGGTTGATTGCCATTTGCATGGCATTTGGTGAACTCACATCAATTTACATCAAGAAAAATGAACAGCTTATGTACACCTATATCACAGTATATGCTGTCTTGGAAATCGCTGTTTTACTTCAGATCATATTGAAGTGTTTCATACTTAAGGCTGTATTGCAAAGTCGACAAAACACTAAAGTAAATGCTAAACAGCACAACACTAAACACTTTGAAATTGTAAAGACAATCATTGTGCTGAATGTCTTATTACTGGTAACTGCATTTCCTTATTTTGTCGCCAAACAAGTGGAGTTTATTCAAAGGCTTGGAAAAATACAAGGTGAATTGGCTTGGCGTTTTTCTTACTACTACGAACCAGTTGCCATGGTGAATTTCGCTGTCAATCCAATTGTGTATGCACTGAGGCTTCCAGATTATCGAAACAGTATGAAGGCGTTTTTTAGAAAAAAGAATACTGTTTTTACTCCAACATCCAAGTCAACAACCTTTTCCTTCCGGTCCACCAATAAGACATTTGCGATGTAACTACATTCATCGTTTATAACTTTATGATTAATATACAAATTTTTTATTTGAGTATAGTATAGGTAATATTAGCATAGTTTTAAAGGGAAGATGAAAGAAAAAGAAACTATCATGATTTGTAGCGAGATTTAAACTGACTAAAATTTACAGCCAACTTTTTGATTTTTCTTTTCGTGAGAAAAATCAGGAGTGTAATATAACGGTACATATCGTTAATCAAATAAACCTTGAACTTAGAGACGTTACAGATTTGCTTAATACTTCGATAAAAAATTTGAAAGAAAAAACGAGTCTTGCTTGTTTGTTAAGTTTTCTATAGCTTGTTGAAAAAATGACAACAAACTTCTTTCATATATCGGCTGCTACTTGATGGTTATATTGGAAAACAAATACTTCGGTATAAACAGAACTTCGTTCCATCGTTCAAAGAGTAAGTTGTTCTGTTCAAAATAAAGAAAATGTGTACGCAGCTAACGTACAGTCACTCACTATGTCTAACAATTGTACATTAATTAAAATCATTTTGAAGAATTGAATATTAAAGAAATAGCAATATTCGTCTCGTGTACAAAGGTTTGGCTGTTTGTATTAGTTTCAGTGTTGATGACATTTTTTATACAACTATATCTTATACATTGATTACTGATATTTTTCAACGTCTTTCTTATTAATCTCTCGTGTTTTGCATCATTTACATGATAATTTGGCTTATCAGAAAAAGAACTTTCGTGGCATAATACATTTCATAAGTCAAAGGAAAGTTGTCAAACTCTGTTGGGGTGAAAACATACACTTTAAAAGATTATTGTTACTTTACATAATTATTCAAAATGTGTTTTTAATATGGCAAAAGAAAAGTGTTTTTGTCATTGTGCGCCAAGACTCTTGAAAGAAGAACATCAGGTAAGAGAGTGATTACACAAAACATAAACTAATTTTAGTTAAAAAGATTTGTAAACAGAGACAAAAGTTTTACCATTATGTATGTGCATGCAATTCTCTATACATTGCTTATAATTTTCACAAATCCTTAATTCTACTCAAGTTACGGCAAACGTTGTCAATACATTCGCACAGACGGAAATTTCCTCTTGCAATTAATGCCGAATAAAATGTATTCTCAGTTGATTTATTCACACCTGTGTTTATAAATATTTTATTCTATTATATAACATGTTGTGTCAAAGAAAATCGTTTTCGAGAGAAAATCTCATTTTGTACACTACAAAATGATGCCCTAGTCAATGTTACTATTAGCTACGAACAAAAAAGCAAGCGATGTTTCGATTTTTTCTCAACTCACCTCGATGTGAGTCGCGGTTTGATACCATGCTACAAAATGCATATCCAATTATATTTTCAAGATACTAGCTAAGCTGTTTTCCATAAATTGTTTGTTCATCATGTTGAAGAGTGATCAGGTGCGTACAGGTTTGTTGATCGTTGCAAAATGTATCGGCAAGGACTTGTATTTGCTGTCAAATAATTAGAAACGTGAATGTGATGAATGTTTTTTTAGTTGTATGGGATTTCAAATTTTTGTTCCAATGTTTTATGGTCTAAATTGACATTAGCATTTTACCTCTTAACTGATGAAACTTTTCCTCATGCATCACAAGATTCTGATTTGGATGAAATTTTTGCATCAGTAATTTGAATGCTTTGCTTGCTGGTAAATGCATTTGATTTTACTGGGGTCATAATGTAGTTAAAAATGTTATATAGGTTTCAGCAAGGTTTGCGTCAGTTAACACTAAAAAATTAATGTTTCAAACGTTTTATTAAGGAATACTGCCTATAGTGACATTCGTTAACTTTCTGCGGAAAAGTTGTGAGGTTGTTCATTTTATCAATCATTTGTCGCACATGATTTACTTCCAGCAAAGTGAATCATGATTCCAAGAAGCTATTACGTCTAAAAGTTTTCACTATACGATTAAACAATGAACAATGTATGATGTTCTCATTGAATATTTGACAACTACTCTCTAAAGACAAAGATAGGGCAGTCTTTGCGGTTATTAAAATTTGTGATTACCATATGCATTTAATCACGAATTTCAACACTCTTTATTATGCATCACGTGTATTTAACCACTCGTTTTGTGCTACACAACTTAAGTTACCTGAGATATTTCCATTATCAAAACAGTGTATGATAATCTTGTTTACTAATGTGTTTTTGTTTCTTGTTTATTCATGCTTTCCTTCAAATACTAACACGATACTTGTCGAATATTGAATTAAAAACAAGTTCCGAATATTTCAAAATATATACACAAAGATTTAGGGAATGGAGTGAAAAAAAATCCACGAGTGAAAGCAAAATTACATGGGAACTTCTAAAATAACGAGGTTTCTGTATTTAAAAAGTGCTCCTACAAGGATGTTAAATGTATTATAAACCGACAAATGACAAAACGTCTAACGTTTTTCGCAAAAACGATTATCATATTATTGCACTGGTGAACTTGCCGCGCGTATTATTCAGACAGATCGACAAAGTTAGTGTTCGCGGAGTATTGAACAACATTTGTCATTCGTGACAGATGAGTCAAATATCTGTCACGAATGACAAATGTTGTTCAAAACTTCCGCGAACACTAGGAACTTTTGTCGATCACACTTGTCACGAATAACAAGTACACGAGGCAAGTTCACCAGTGTGCGGCAGGCTGAACAATCTTCTATAAACATGCCGTAAATATGATACAAGATTTCCGGAAACCCACGCCAATTAAATCTGTAAACAATATGTACGTGCAGGAGGATGAAATAACAACTTCAACACACACAACGCTTACTTGATTTTAGGGGGAACATACTCTGTCAATATCAAATTCAAAGTGAAAGAAAAGCAGCGCACCATATTATCTAGGGTCTCACTATGATAATCAAAAGGCATTTCCAAAACGTCTATCCTTCCTTTGTCTATGGATTCCTTATTCTTACAAGTTTGATAAAAGTACATCCAATGGCCAATGCTGGTGATTTGGGGAAAATGTGCAACTCGACTCAAACAAACCAGACAAATTGCACAAGGAATGAGACTGGTTCTCGTAATCAAAGTGATGTAAGTTTATAAACAAAAACTCTATTGTATGTAATTACAAAATCATTTTATTTGGTCTGATGAATTAATTTAAAGTCAATGAAATGTTTTGTTGACTGGAAAGAAATGCATTCAAAGAAATGAGGTAGGTGCAAAAATCTCATATTAAAAAGTCAAAAGCCACAATAGTCTAACTGAAGCCATTGGGTAAAAGTCATCTTATTGAACAACCTTATAATTTTTGTATTTATTATTTCCTTTATGCGATTTTTATGGCATTATCAGAAGTTGGTTTACGCCAAGCCTGAAACTGAATACGTTTAAAAGGAAAGATTTTTCTATCTAAAACACGCAGAACTTTAGCGCTTTTATTTTAGATACAAACTTCTTCACAGTATAATGTGCAGTGATTTTAGAATTATTTGCAACATTTCCAATATTTATAAGAGCACCATCAACTACAATAATTGTACCTCTCCATAATTTCTGTAAGTTATTTATTATCATATGCTCCATCTCGAAATCAAATAAACTAAAGTGTTCACAATATTTTAATACATGTCACACAAAAAGAGAGTTAGAATAAAAATCATATCAAATCCTCGTGTCAAGCGAAGCAGAAATGATTTCCGTTTCACAATTACATTTGCGAATTCTTTGTTGCTGTCCAACTTCTGTAAAAGTCTCCACATTCTCCCTTTTGCTTGCACGTAATATGCAGCAAAGACTGCAGAAAATGGCAGTTCTGCGAGTTCGTATTTGAAATTTTTATAACTCATCCACGAAGCCTTGAGGTGTATCCGCTTCTGAAATGCTTCCGTATTCTGTAATTCGTAACACTTGCTGAGTGCAAAACTTGCACACTTGCAGTGGAAAACTACGTCTAAAAGAAATGAAATAGACTGACATGAGATAATGCATTGAATTAATGCATTTCTAAAATTTTTGCAATTTTCTTCTCCACCATTGAGAAATATGACAGTTTACAATGCATTTAAAATTTTCATATGTTTCATTGAAGAACAAACCCAAGAACAGTATCTCGTTTGGTTATGAAACATTAATAACAATAATAGTGGTCTCATTGCAACATAAAATAAACATATATTTATGTATTTAATAAGAAACCGAAGAAAAGTTTCTCACTTCCTCAAGATATATTAATAACAACAATGGTGGTCTCCACAGTTGGTGTCCTTACAAATGGTCTTCTTATTGTTGTTATTGTGAAGGATCCTTTAAACAAACTAAGACGAGGACCGTGGATTACCATCTTAAGCTTATCTATAGCTGACATCACTGCATCTTTGTCCCAATTCATGATTGTTGGATTGGGTAGATTGTTCGAGGTCAAACCATCAGAAGCTGTCATTTATTCTGTCCTTTTCTTTGGATGTTTGGGGCTGCGGGCTCATTTTTCACTTGACATCACTCACATGGCAAACTTACATGATTGCAAAGTATCCCATACGTAGCCGACAGATGTTGTCTACCAGAAAATATACATATTATGTGCGACTGTTTGGTTGATTGCCATTTGCATGGCATTTGGTGAACTCACATCAATTTACATCAAGAAAAATGAACAGCTTATGTACACCTATATCACAGTATATGCTGTCTTGGAAATCGCTGTTTTACTTCAGATCATATTGAAGTGTTTCATACTTAAGGTTGTATTGCAAAGTCGACAAACACTAAAGTAAATGCTAAACAGCACAACACTAAACACTTTGAAATTGTAAAGACAATCATTGTGCTGAATGTCTTATTACTGGTAACTGCATTTCCTTATTTTGTCGCCAAACAAGTGGAGTTTATTCAAAGGCTTGGAAAAATACAAGGTGAATTGGCTTGGCGTTTTTCTTACTACTACGAACCAGTTGCCATGGTGAATTTCGCTGTCAATCCAATTGTGTATGCACTGAGGCTTCCAGATTATCGAAACAGTATGAAGGCGTTTTTTAGAAAAAAGAATACTGTTTTTACTCCAACATCCAAGTCAACAACCTTTTCCTTCCGGTCCACCAATAAGACATTTGCGATGTAACTACATTCATCGTTTATAACTTTATGATTAATATACAAATTTTTTTATTTGAGTATAGTATAGGTAATATTAGCATAGTTTTAAAGGGAAGATGAAAGAAAAAGAAACTATCATGATTTGTAGCGAGATTTAAACTGACTAAAATTTACAGCCAACTTTTTGATTTTTCTTTTCGTGAGAAAAATCAGGAGTGTAATATAACGGTACATATCGTTAATCAAATAAACCTTGAACTTAGAGACGTTACAGATTTGCTTAATACTTCGATAAAAAATTTGAAAGAAAAAACGAGTCTTGCTTGTTTGTTAAGTTTTCTATAGCTTGTTGAAAAAATGACAACAAACTTCTTTCATATATCGGCTGCTACTTGATGGTTATATTGGAAAACAAATACTTCGGTATAAACAGAACTTCGTTCCATCGTTCAAAGAGTAAGTTGTTCTGTTCAAAATAAAGAAAATGTGTACGCAGCTAACGTACAGTCACTCACTATGTCTAACAATTGTACATTAATTAAAATCATTTTGAAGAATTGAATATTAAAGAAATAGCAATATTCGTCTCGTGTACAAAGGTTTGGCTGTTTGTATTAGTTTCAGTGTTGATGACATTTTTTATACAACTATATCTTATACATTGATTACTGATATTTTTCAACGTCTTTCTTATTAATCTCTCGTGTTTTGCATCATTTACATGATAATTTGGCTTATCAGAAAAAGAACTTTCGTGGCATAATACATTTCATAAGTCAAAGGAAAGTTGTCAAACTCTGTTGGGGTGAAAACATACACTTTAAAAGATTATTGTTACTTTACATAATTATTCAAAATGTGTTTTTAATATGGCAAAAGAAAAGTGTTTTTTCATTGTGCAAGACTTTGAAAGAAGAACATCAGGTAAGAGAGTGATTACACAAACATAAACTAATTTTAGTTAAAAGATTTGTAAACAGAGACAAAAGTTTTACCATTATGTATGTGCATGCAATTCTCTATACATTGCTTATAATTTTCACAAATCCTTAATTCTACTCAAGTTACGGCAAACGTTGTCAATACATTCGCACAGACGGAAATTTCCTCTTGCAATTAATGCCGAATAAAATGTATTCTCAGTTGATTTATTCACACCTGTGTTTATAAATATTTTATTCTATTATATAACATGTTGTGTCAAAGAAAATCGTTTTCGAGAGAAAATCTCATTTTGTACACTACAAAATGATGCCCTAGTCAATGTTACTATTAGCTACGAACAAAAAAGCAAGCGATGTTTCGATTTTTTCTCAACTCACCTCGATGTGAGTCGCGGTTTGATACCATGCTACAAAATGCATATCCAATTATATTTTCAAGATACTAGCTAAGCTGTTTTCCATAAATTGTTTGTTCATCATGTTGAAGAGTGATCAGGTGCGTACAGGTTTGTTGATCGTTGCAAAATGTATCGGCAAGGACTTGTATTTGCTGTCAAATAATTAGAAACGTGAATGTGATGAATGTTTTTTAGTTGTATGGGATTTCAAATTTTTGTTCCAATGTTTTATGGTCTAAATTGACATTAGCATTTTACCTCTTAACTGATGAAACTTTTCCTCATGCATCACAAGATTCTGATTTGGATGAAATTTTTGCATCAGTAATTTGAATGCTTTGCTTGCTGGTAAATGCATTTGATTTTACTGGGGTCATAATGTAGTTAAAAATGTTATATAGGTTTCAGCAAGGTTTGCGTCAGTTAACACTAAAAAATTAATGTTTCAAACGTTTTATTAAGGAATACTGCCTATAGTGACATTCGTTAACTTTCTGCGGAAAAGTTGTGAGGTTGTTCATTTTATCAATCATTTGTCGCACATGATTTACTTCCAGCAAAGTGAATCATGATTCCAAGAAGCTATTACGTCTAAAAGTTTTCACTATACGATTAAACAATGAACAATGTATGATGTTCTCATTGAATATTTGACAACTACTCTAAAGACAAAGATAGGGCAGTCTTTGCGGTTATTAAAATTTGTGATTACCATATGCATTTAATCACGAATTTCAACACTTTTATTATGCATCACGTGTATTTAACCACTCGTTTTGTGCTACACAACTTAAGTTACCTGAGATATTTCCATTATCAAAACAGTGTATGATAATCTTGTTTACTAATGTGTTTTGTTTCTTGTTTATTCATGCTTTCCTTCAAATACAACACGATACTTGTCGAATATTGAATTAAAAACAAGTTCCGAATATTTCAAAATATATACACAAGATTTAGGAATGGAGTGAAAAAATCCACGAGTGAAAGCAAAATTACATGGGAACTTCTAAAATAACGAGGTTTCTGTATTTAAAAGTGCTCCTACAAGGATGTTAAATGTATTATAAACCGACAAATGACAAAACGTCTAACGTTTTCGCAAAACGATTATCATCTGCCGACACTGGTGATTTGCCCGCGATTTTCGTAGGTGATCGACAAAGTTATAGTGTTCGCGGATATTGAACAACATTTGTCATTCGTGACAGATGAGTCAAATATCTGTCACGAATGACAAATGTTGTTCAAAACTTCCGCGAACACTAGGAACTTTGTCGATCACACTTTCACGAATAACAAGTACACGAGGCAAGTTCACCAGTGCGGCAGGCTGAACAATCTTCTATAAACATGCCGTAAATATGATACAAGATTTCCGGAACCCACGCCATTAAATCTGTAAACAATATGTACGTGCAGGAGGATGAAATAACAACTTCAACACACACAACGCTTACTTGATTTTAGGGGGAACATACTCTGTCAATATCAAATTCAAAGTGAAAGAAAAGCAGCGCACCATATTATCTAGGGTCTCACTATGATAATCAAAAGGCATTTCCAAACGTCTATCCTTCCTTTGTCTATGGATTCCTTATTCTTACAAGTTTGATAAAGTACATCCAATGGCCAATGCTGGTGATTTGGGAAAATGTGCAACTCGACTCAAACAAACCAGACAAATTGCACAAGGAATGAGACTGGTTCTCATCAAAGTGATGTAAGTTTATAAACAAAAACTCTATTGTATGTAATTACAAAAATCATTTTATTTGGTCTGATGAATTAATTTAAAGTCAATGAAATGTTTTGTTGACTGGAAAAAATGCATTCAAAGAAATGAGGTAGGTGCAAAAATCTCATATTAAAAAGTCAAAAAGCCACAATAGTCTAACTGAAGCCATTGGGTAAAAGTCATCTTATTGAACAACCTTATAATTTTTGTATTTATTATTTCCTTTATGCGATTTTATGGCATTATCAGAAGTTGGTTTACGCCAAGCCTGAAACTGAATACGTTTAAAAGGAAAGATTTTTCTATCTAAAACACGCAGAACTTTAGCGCTTTTTTTAGATACAAACTTCTTCACAGTATAATGTGCAGTGATTTTAGAATTATTTGCAACATTTCCAATATTTATAAGAGCACCATCAACTACAATAATTGTACCTCTCCATAATTTCTGTAAGTTATTTATTATCATATGCTCCATCTCGAAATCAAATAAACTAAAGTGTTCACAATATTTTAATACATGTCACACAAAAAGAGAGTTAGAATAAAAATCATATCAAATCCTCGTGTCAAGCGAAGCAGAAATGATTTCCGTTTCACAATTACATTTGCGAATTCTTTGTTGCTGTCCAACTTCTGTAAAAGTCTCCACATTCTCCCTTTGCTTGCACGTAATATGCAGCAAAGACTGCAGAAAATGGCAGTTCTGTGAGTTCGTATTTGAAATTTTTATAACTCATCCACGAAGCCTTGAGGTGTATCCGCTTCTGAAATGCTTCCGTATTCTGTAATTCGTAACACTTGCTGAGTGCAAAACTTGCACTTGCAGTGGAAAACTACGTCTAAAAAGAAATGAAATAGACTGACATGAGATAATGCATTGAATTAATGCATTTCTAAAATTTTTGCAATTTTCTTCTCCACCATTGAGAAATATGACAGTTTACAATGCATTTAAAATTTTCATATGTTTCATTGAAGAACAAACCCAAGAACAGTATCTCGTTTGGTTATGAAACATTAATAACAATAATAGTGGTCTCATTGCAACATAAAATAAACATATATTTATGTATTTAATAAGAAACCGAAGAAAAGTTTCTCACTTCCTCAAGATATATTAATAACAACAATGGTGGTCTCCACAGTTGGTGTCCTTACAAATGGTCTTCTTATTGTTGTTATTGTGAAGGATCCTTTAAACAAACTAAGACGAGGACCGTGGATTACCATCTTAAGCTTATCTATGGCAGACATCACTGCATCTTTCTCCCAATTCGCGATTGTTGGATTGGGTAAATTGTTCGAGGTCAAACCATCAGAAGCTGTCATTTATTCTGTCCTTTTCTTTTGGATGTTTGGGGCTGCGGGCTCATTTTTTCACTTGACATCACTCACATGGCAAACTTACATAATTGCAAAGTATCCCATACGTTGCCGACAGATGTTGTCTACCAGAAAAATATACATATTATGTGCCACAGTTTGGTTGATTGCCATTTGCATGGCATTTGGTGAACTCACATCAATTTACATCAAGAAAAATGAACAGCTTATGTACACCTATATCACAGTATATGCTGTCTTGGAAATCGCTGTTTTACTTCAGATCATATTGAAGTGTTTCATACTTAAGATTGTATTGCAAAGTCGAGAAGACACTAAAGTAAATGCTGAACAGCACAACACTAAACACCTTGAAATTGTAAAGACAATCATTGTGCTGAATGTCTTATTACTGGTAACTGCATTTCCTTTTTTTGTCGCCAAACAAGTGGAGTTTATTCAAAGGCTAGGGAAACTACAAAGTGAATTGGCTGGCGCTTTTCATTATTACTAAGCAGTTGCCATGGTGAATTTTGCTGTCAATCCAATTGTGTATGCACTGAGGGCTTCCAGATTATCGAAACAGTATGAAGGCGTTGTTTAGAAAGAAGAATACTGTTTTACTCCAACATCCAAGTCAACGACCTTTTCCTTCCGGTCCACCAATGAAACATTTGCATGTAAACTACATTCATCGTTCATAACTTTATGATTAATATATAAATTTTTATTTGAGTATAGTATAGGTAATATTAGCATAGTTTTAAAGAAGATGAAAGAAAAAGAAACTATCATGATTTGTAGCGAGATTTAAACTGACTAAAATTTACAGCCAGCCGACTTTTCTTTTCATGAGAAAGATCAGAGTGTAATACTTTTAACGATACATATCATTAATCAAATAAACCTTGAACTTAGAGACGTTACAGATTCGCCCAGTGCTTCGATAAAAAATTTGAAAGAAAAAATGAGTGGTGCTTGTTTGTTAAGTCTTCTATAGCTTGTTAAAAAAATGACAACAAACTTCTTTCATAAATCGGCTGCTACTTGGAGAATGTATTGGAAAACAAAACTTCGGTATAAACAGAACTTCGTTCCATCGTTCAAAGAGTAAGTTGATCTATTCAAAAAAAAGAAAATGTGTACGCAGCTAACGTACAGTCGCAAGTGCACGGACAGCTTAAATACAGAATCCTTTCATCAAAGGCATATGAGTTAAAAGAAACAATAACGATGTACCATCAAAATGAAATTTGCATAGTTTTTATTCTACTTGCGTTATGATGAAGTTTGCTTACACAAAAAATTCTTGTGATGACCCAAAGCACAAACTTTCATTGTGTGCTGAAACAGGAAATTTTGCTGTAGCATTTATTAGTACGTTTTTCTTAAAATTGAACGAATTTATGTTTTGAAATATGACAAATTAATATACCTACAACAAAGACTTTGCTAAGAATTCTCAATAACATGAGACCAACCTGGGCCCTGGTAAAGTACATAACTTTTTACAAAAAGACGTTCTGTACACGGATGAAATTTATTTTGGTGAGTGAATCAGTTCACTGCAATATTGAAAAAGTAGAATTCAATACATAACGTGGAGGGACATCTGTTTCACTTTCATCAATATACAGCCAATTTCCATTTTCTTTTGTCAGTACTTCCTGTATGAAGAAATTTGTGTACATCATCATGATGCCCAGCCCAAGTTTTAAAGTAGTCTGACGTAGCTGTTAAGCCACTTCGGAGGTCAACATCAACCCAGAAGAATATTTGTTTTGTCTGTTTCAAAACACCAGATACATACACGCGATCTTAATTTACCATATAAGACATTTTATTTTAAAAAACAGTTGAGAAAAACGACGATTTTTTTGAAAGCAAACATGTTTCGACATTATCAGAATGCCATCTTCAGTGCAGAATGGTTAGTGTTTAGTAATATGATACGTAATATGATATGAATAAATTAATTACAATGGAATAGATTATAGTTTAATTACAAAATTATAAAAATATTTCCAAAAGGAAAAGAAAAATAAGTATTAAGAACTTATAACATAAAATATAGTGTTGTAGTAGTGGCTTGGATATTTAAATCCAATTTAGTTTATTAATGTTAGAGCTTCCTTGATTTTGGGTAGAAAGTGAATTGATCAATTCGTGATTTTTTACAAAACAGGAAGGTAGAGAATTATTTTACATGAAGGAGAGGCTTGAAGATGTTTGTAGATAGTGGAGTTTTTGTCTGTGTGAGTATGTTCCTTTATCCTGGTACATTTTATTTTCTATCAGTTGAGTATTTGTGAGAAGAAGAGAGTAGTATAGTACATGGGGGGTACAAAAGCACCAAAAGTCAACCATGTCTAATATACTATCACTACTTTATACCAAGTAACATCAATGACAGTTCAGGGACAATCATTCTCAGTGCAGGGGCACAGGGGAGTGCTCGAGCAGGGGAGAATTTCCGAGATTCAGCGACGTGAGGTGGGAATTTTTCACGAAGTGAAAAATTGGAGTCCGAAGGACGACAGAGGATTAATATATGCTCTTTTACAATCTATCGTTTAAAAATATGTTTTGTAATTTATCTATCAAGCATGTCTTAGTGCATGTTTTAACAATGGATTTGTTTAATGTAACCAGCACATGTCACAGCGCATGTATAATAATACAATGTTTTACAAAATATGGAATCTATATGTTTTTGAAATATATAGGTGCGTTTAAATTTTACAAACAGTCTTTACAAATAAATGTTAAGAAAGCACCGGTTCGGAGGGGCTCGGCAGCGCAGAGCATGATGTGATATCACGAAGTGATATTGCTCCATGCTTGAACAGGGAATGGAGCCCCGAGAATTCTAGGCGACGGTGGGGAAATTTTCACGAAGTGAAAATTCGGAGCCGAAAGTGGCATTCGATGAATATTCGAAGAATATTCGAGAATAACAGAGGCTTAATATATGCTCTTTAATAATCAAGTGTTAATAATCAAGTGTTATTAAAATATCAGTACCAGTGCGCTTTATAGTCTACTTGGTATATTGGATAAACTAGTGGCCTTTAACAATGGTCTTAAAACTCAGTGCGTGGTAGAAATATTCTTTAATAATCAAGTGTTAATAATCAAGCGTTATTAAAATATCAGTAGCAGCGCGCTTTGTAGTCTACTTGGTATATTGGATTAACTAGTGGCCTTTAACAATGGTCTTAAAACTCAGCGCGTGGTAGAAATATTCTTTAATAATCAAATGTTAATAATCAAGCGTTATTAAAATATCCGTAGCAGCGCTTTTATAGTCTACTTGGTATATTGGATTAAATAGTGGCCTTTAACAATAGTCACCCAAACTCAGCGCGTGGTAGAAATATTCTTTTAATAATCAAGTGTTAATAATCAAGTGGTAATAATCAAAGCGTTATTAAAGTATAGTGCAGTAGCAGCGCTGTAGATCGCAGGTATATTAGGATTAATAGTGGCCTTTAACAATGGTCGCAAAACTCAGCGCGTGGTAGAAATATTCTTTAATAATCAAGTTTAATAATCAAGTGTTAATAAATCAAGCTGTTATTAAAATATCCATGCAGCGCTTTAGTCTTTCACTTGGTATATTGGTTAAATAGTGGCCTTTAACAATGGTCTTAAAAACTCAAGCGTGGTAGAAATATTCTTTAATAATCAAATTTAATAATCAAGTGTTAATAATCAAGCGTTATTAAAATATCGAAGTAGCAGCAAATCCTTAGTATATTGGATTAACTGGTGGCCAGCTAACAATGGTCTTAAAACTCAGCGCGTAGTAGAAATATTCTTTGTCATCAAGTGTTAATAATCAAGTGTTAATAAAATTTATTAAAATATCAGTGCTTAGCGCCTTTTAGAATCTATGGTATATTGGATTAACTAAGTGGCTAACAATGTAGTCTTAAAACTCAGCGTGGTAGAAATATTCTTTATTAATCAAGTTAATAATCAAGTGTTAATAATCAAGCGTTATTAAAATATCAGTAGCAGCGCGCTTTGTAGTCTACTTGGTATATTGGATTAACTAGTGGCCTTTAACAATGGTCTTAAAACTCAGCGCGTGGTAGAAATATTCTTTAATAATCAAGTGTTAATAATCAAGTGTTAATAATCAAGCGTTATTAAAATATTAGTAGCAGCGCGCTTTATAGTCTACTTGGTATATTGGATTAACTAGTGGCCTTTAACAATGGTCTTAAAACTCAGCGCGTGGTAGAAATATTCTTTAATAATCAAGTGTTAATAATCAAGTGTTAATAAAGCATCTTTCTAAATCGTTGTCTCGGGGCGAAGAATTTTAGGCAACTAAGCCTGAAATTTTGAGCGCAACAATGTCATAGATGCTCTTTACAAAATATGGAATCTATATGTTTTTTAATTTGTCTGTCAAGCGTGTGTCACATGTACATGTTTAACAATGTTTTATATAATTTTTGTTAAAAGTGTTTTTACTAATTGTTTCAGGATTTTGAATTTTTTGTATATCGCTTTTGTATTAATTACTTATTACAAACAGTTATGTGATATGTAGTCAAACATGAGGATTATTCTTCATCTTAAGTTTTAGCTTGATAGTTATCTTTAATAAATTTTTTAATTTTTCGATTTCATCATTTACAAATTTTTAGTTGATAGAATATTATCTTCTATAGTAGCCCATTTTGTGAAAACCATTATATGTCATAGATAATGTAGATTGATGTTGTGAATAAACTTGGTTAATCCATTAAATGCTTTAAGCCATTTTCTTTTCCATTCATTATAACCTAGAAGCTGTAGATTTTTTGGTTCAATAATAATATAAATATAGTTTAAATCATCATCAACACAGTATACGTAATATAAATCTAGTAATGCATTAACTATCTTTTTTCATTATCATTTGTTAGTTTAATGATAAATTTTTTTAAATCTTATCTACCATCATATCTAATTCAATTGTTTTAGAGTTATCAGATTTATTAATAAAAGTGTAAATTCAATAAATTTAATATTATTAAAAAGATAGTATCTTGTGGTATTAAAATTTTATAATTTAATTGATTGCTATGGTATACTACTTTACCATTTACTCTGCTATCAATCTCATTCTTTGTATAATAGTTAGTTAAATTAGAAGTCAAAGCATACTTACTATCAGCTTGTGTTTTAGTATAATAGTTAGTTAAATTAGAATTTAAAGCATACTTACCATCTGTTTCACTCTTTGTATAATATTTATTTAAATTAGAAGTCAAAGCATACTTACTATCAGCTTGTGTTTTAGTATAATAGTTAGTTAAATTAGAATTTAAAGCATACTTACCATCTGTTTCACTTTTTGTATAATATTTATTTAAATTAGAACTTAAAGCATACTTACCATTTGTTTCATTCTTTGTATAATAGTTGGCTAATCTTGAAACAAAAACATATTTATTATCAGCTTGTGTTTTAGTATAATATTTTAGTAAATTAGAAGTCAAAGCATATTTATTATCAGCTTGTGTTTTAGTATAGTAGTCATTAAATTTACTATCAGCTTGAGTTTTAGTATAGTAGTTATCTGATAGATGTTTTTTATCTACAGATCCTTGTATATTTACATTAATATCTGTTTTATCATGCCCATAAAATAAGCTCATTTATATTATTCCTCAGATTTTATATCCGGTTTATTATTTTTATGTTCATAAACATGTTTAACGGTTGTTATACCGCCTGATAAAAACCCTAAAAATGGTAATAGGGGTGATATTTTTTCTACTAAACTGTACACATCTCGTTTTAAAAGGTCGTCTGATTTAAGCTGTTTTGTTAATTCTTTGGGATCTTCAATAGCATCAAACCCTTTTAATATATCTGAAAATTTTGATATAACTAAATCAGTTAAAAACTCATTAGTTTTTTGTAATCGTTTTTTCTCGTATTCAGTGTACAATTTATCAATAATTTTTTGACTACATTTTTTAATGTAAGCAACTGACTTATCTAAATCACCATCTTCAGCTAGTTTAAGTAGTTGATCTCTTTTATTAAAACCCTCTTGCGGTTTATCTTGTATATTTTCATCACATACCGCATCTTTGATAATATCATTTGCGGAATCAATCTTATTAATTATATCATCAATTGTTTCAGTCTCTTTACGCTTTGGCATATATATATAACACATGTTTTATTGCAGAATAACAATTTTCCATTTGTATGGAAATACAAGTTGGATTTCTAAATGTGCATACTTATTATTTTTCAATTTTTTGGTTATTTCTTCTACATCATCTTTTTCAACAACATAAAGATAATAATCAAATATGGTTTTCATATCATTGCGGTTTGTATTATAAAATGTAACTAAATAACTTATATTTTCGCGATAAGGTTTGGCAATACTAGTCAATTGCTGTGTAATCACAATAGTAGAAAGCCCATAATGACGAGCACTGAACCCTAATTTTATTAATTGTGATGTCCTATTTTTAACATCTAAGCAACTCGCACAATCATCAAGAATAATAAGACTATTGGTGCCTTTATATACATCACTAACATATTTTAAAACAATATCTACCTGATCTTGGTCACATTCTACTTTAATTAAATCAGAATCATTTATATATTTCCATTCTTGATAGGTTTTATTATATGATAGCGTTGTACATAATAAAATAATATAATCAAAATATTTATTAAAGTTTTCTTCTAACATTTTGAGAAGGTAATAACTTTTACCACAATTTGTCATGCCTAAAATAATCATATTAAAAGGTGTATTCATTTATATATTACTGGTTATTTTAGTATTGAATACTTTGTAAATCATTATTAACAAATTGAACAAGAGCATCACTAACAACATAGATGTAACAGTTTAAATCTTTTGTATATGCTCTTTTTTTAATTTCTAGTAAAACACCATTTTGAGTATTAATAATGCGTTTTCCGTTCCCAGCAATATTTTTTTCTTGAAAGGTGCGTAGATCGATAATTAATGAAAATTTATCCTTATAAAATTTTTCAATTGTCATGAAGCAATCTATCGGGATAGTTTTATCAAAAAATCTTCTTGATTCTTCATAAAATATTTTTTTATCCATACCTTGGGAGAAAATGACATTAGGGACACCCTCTATGGTTACCGAAACTGAATCAATCAAAGGATATATATAATTTTCGCTATCACTAACTGAATTTTCTGTGAATAGTAGTATAATGCCTTTCATTGATTTGCGGGGAACGTTGACATTTACATTTTGTAATGTAGATGACTTATCCCATTTTTCCTTTTTCAAGAGGGTTATATGTTCATAAAATAGACTCCTCCCTATAGAATATAAATTTGTTACCTCATCTGCAATTTCTTGATTTTCAATAGTTTCATATTATAGCTGAATATTTTCTAATTCATAATCACCAGTAGATTGACCGCTTTGAGGGATAAGGACTTGATCACTTGCTGGTAATGTTATTATGTATTGAAAGTTATTATTCATATTGAAAGGACAATAAAGACCATGATCTTTAAGAATATTATCAATATTAATTTTCTGCCTTGTACCATAAATATCATACATTAATTTGTCTGATACTTTTTCTGAATCTCTGCTTGTTGAAGCACTATCATCCTTAGAAATAAGTTTTCTTAGGTTTTGGTTACTTAAACCATATTCAATAAGGCCTTGTCGATCACTTTTCGGCAACCACAAGTCTTTGTATACACTTATAACATTATGTTCACTACAATCGTAAAGGGTTTCCCCAGCCACTTTAATTTGTAGTCTATGTTGTAAAATCTGACTGAGATTATTTAGAAAGTGACTTTTTGTATTACTGATTTTAAGATCAAACGATAGATTAAGTGAACCAGGGACTAAGCAACTATTTGCTTTCAATTTCGGAATATTAACATAAACTTGTTCATTCGGTTTAAGACTATTAGGATTAAAGGTTATACTATAAAAAGTGCGTGCACCTTTAATTTTTGTCATAGTACTCCTTTTATAACCGGGTAAAAGCTCTTCTTGTAATCTGTTCATATATATTAAAACATATTTTATTTTTTTCTTTGTTTATACTGATCATATATTAACAAAGCAGCAGCAATAGCTAAAACCCAAAGATTAGAAGCTACCCATGCTAGACCTTTAGCTCCCCAAGATATAGCCTTAGCGATAATATTCAATAATGGTCCTAATACTGGCCATAATTTTTTACCTATATTTGCTATTGCCTTAAAAAATTTATTAGTAGATTGAGCACCTTGTAGGATTGCTTTTCTTGCACCAATGACAATGGTTGTAATTATACCAGCTACAGATATAGCTAAAGCTGATAATCCTGGAATATTTTCCTTAACAAATTCTTTAAAACGCTGTAATCTAGTAATGTCTTCTTCCTGTTTCTCTCGTACATCCTCTTTCTCTAATTGTTCTTGTTCTTCTCTAATTATAATTTCTAATTCATCGGCTCTTTCTTGCAAACGAGTGTATTCATCAATATTGTTGTTAATACTATTTTCATTTTCTATTTCATCTATTCTAGCTATAGTTTTGTTTCGCTCTTCAGTAAAGTGATTTATTTGTGCTTCTATGAATTGTGGTCGTGTTTTTTTATCAATAGTTTCAGAAGGACCCATCACACCTATATGTTCTCTAAGTTCTTCATTAGTTATTTGGTTGAAATTATCTGTATATTGATTATTTAAATCAACCATAGGCATACTATATTTAGTTTTTATAAATTCATCTTGCAAATTAATAATTCTTTTAATTTCGTTTTTAAATTGTTTAACAGCTTCTTTAGCATTTTTTAATGTATTGTATTGTAGTACTCCATTTCTGTTACGTTTTCAATTATACTATCTCCTCGCTTATTATTTTTTTTATTTAATGGTTTGTAAGTAATATCATTCGAATCATTTTTATCTAAATTTAATCTAAAATTTATACCTTCAGAAGCTGCATCACCTTTTAGGTTACCAAATCTAAACTCTTTTTTATAATTTTTTGTAATAAACTGTTCAACAGCAAAAAAAACTTCATTTTGAGGCCTAGAAATATCTGTATAAATAGGAGTGGAATTAATAGGAATATCAGGAAGAGTATTATTTTTATTTGTAGGTCTTCTTATTGTTACACCGTAATTATCATCATTAAATGACGTTTCATAATATTCATTATCATTGTTATTGTCATTGTTATTCTCTTCTTGCTTCTTATCTTCTAATTCAATATTATCAAAATCTCCTTCATCCATTATATAGATTACTCTATATTTTGTATTTCACTTTCAGGAATCCAACTGTTATGTTTATTATCATAACCTAGCCATTTAACTAAAACCATCTTTTCACCTTTAACCTTCTTACGTTTTAATATCTTTTCAACTCTATAAACATCATCTTTCTTATTCACAACTGATAGTTCCTCTTCATAAAATTTACCAATTATAAGCTCTCCTTCTACATCTTCTATCTCATATAAATTCGGATCTCCTCTAATAACTTTAATTACTTTAAACAACTCTTCTGTAAAATTTGCTTCATAGCCTTTCGTAAATATAGATTTATACTTTGATATTCTAACCATATCACCAATTTTAATCTTAGGTAATGGTAAATAAGCAACTTCATGACCGTATAATGTATTCCATACTTCATCTTCATTATTTTTATTAACATCTTTAGGCTTCATCAAGATTGTACTGTGTTTTGTATTGTTATAATTATATACTAAATCATCTAATATATCAATCCATTTATATGTTCCTTTACTGTAAAAATATTTCCACATAGATGTTTTAAGCGTTCTGTTGAATCGTTCGACAATCGCAGCCTTTTTATCATTTTTAGTAGAGAAGTACTTAATTCCATGTTTCTCTAATAATGATTTGACACCTACATTATAAAATTCTTTACCATCATCAAATTGAGCTAGTTTCGGGTAATAATTAAATCTATCTTTAAATTGACTTAATAGTTTTGCAACAGCTTTTGTCATATTATTTGTGTCTTTCCTATAAACAGGGATAGTAAATGCATATCTACTTAATATTTCAATAGCTGTTAATATCCAATAATAACCATTGTTTTTATACTT